CAGGTGAGCACCGAGGACAGGGTGGGTGCGTGCTCCCAGGCTCCTCCCCACCAGGCAGCCCACGGCAAGGGCACCAGCGGGCTCAGAACGGAAGGTGTGGAACCCAGTCTCTCTCTGGATGCTTGGAAGGAGCTTATTACTACTGCTGCATAATAAGCACCTTGAATCCTAGCAGCTTAAAACAACAAGAAACACACACAAAACACAACCCCATTCCAAAATGGGCAAAGGACTGGAACAGACATTTCTCCAAAGAAGATGTGCGAGTGACTGGAAAGCACACGAAAAGATGCTCGGCGTCGTTAGTCACCAGGGAAATGCAAACCAAATCCACAGTGAGATGCAGCCACACGCCCAGTGGGAAGGCCACTATCAAAACAGAAAAGCGAGTGCCGGCGAGGAGGAGGGAAATTGGAATGTCTGCCAGGCCCAGGGGCTCACGCCTGTAATCCCAGAATCTTGGGAGGCCGAGGTGGGCGGATCGCTTGAGCTCAAGAGTTCAAGACCAGCCTGGGCAATGTGGTGAAACTCCATCTCTACTAAAAATACAAAAAAAGAGCTGGGCATAGTGGTACACGCCTGTGGTCCCAGCTACTCATGAGGCTGAGGTGAGAGGACTGCTTGAGCCCAGGAGGTCGAGGCTGCAGTGAACTGTGATTGGACCACTGCACTTCCGCCTGGGTGACAGGGCCCGACCCTGTCTCAAAAAAGAGAAAGAAATTGGAATCTTTGTGTGCTGTTGCAGAGAATGTCAGGTGGTGCAGCTGCTGTGAAAACAGCACGGTGGTTCCTCAAAAACTCAAAATAGAACTACCATATGACCCAGCAACCCCACTTCTGGTTCATATCCCAGAAAACTGAAAGAGGGACTCACACATATTTGCACACTCATGCTCACGCCAACGTAATTCACAATAGCGAAAAGGTGGAAGCAACCCAGGATTCCATTTACAAATGAACGGATAAACAAAATGCGGAGTACATCAAACATGACTCAGCCTTACAAAGTGTGAACATTTTGTACACGCTACGACATGAATGAACCTTGAGGACACGGTGCTAGGTAATTAAGCCAGCTACAAAAGCACGGATGCTGTCGGATTCCACTTACATGAGGGCCCTGGGGTAGTCAAATTTAGGGACAGGAAGGAGAATGGCGGGTGCCAGGGACTGTGGGGAGGAAGGAGGGGGAGATAGTGTTTAATGGAAGACAGAGTTTCAGTTTGGGAAGATGAAATAGTTCTGGAATTGGATGTGGTGATGTGCGAATGTACTTAATGCCACTGAAATGTACCCTGAAAACGATTCAGATGGTACATTTTATGTTAAGTATATTTTACCCAACAACTATAATTGCTTTATTATTTTTCACAATCCCTGTGGGTGAGGAGCTTGGGAACGGCTTGGCTGGGGATTCTGGTTGGTTCTGGGTTGTCCTGGGTGGTTTTGGCTTGAGGTCTTTCATCACACTCTTATCTCCTTGAGAGCAGAAACCAAGCCCTAGTTATCTAACTGACTAGCTGGGAGCCTCAGACCCTGGACAGCCCGGCAGCAGAGGGGCTGAAGAGCCTGAGGCCGCTGCCAACGAGGAAGTGCCAAACAATAGCCCCCAGGAGGCCTGCCACTCTCACACCAGATTTGCACTTCCAGGGACAAAGGAGATTTCCTCTGTAGGAAATGATACCCGAGGGAGGGCTTCCTGCAGGAGCAAGCTGAGAAGGGGCCGGGAGGAGGAGAGGGAGGGGGGTGGGGCTGTGAGCTCTGGATACTCACGTCCCTGGCCCCTGGGCCCTAAGGTCCCGGGCACAAAGCCAGCCCACAGGCCACTAAGGGACTGGCATGTTCTCCATGAGTCAGGCTCTGAGCCTGGAACACTCCTTTAAACCCCTGCTCCCCCTGTTCCCACTTGTGACCTACAGCCCTCTCTGTAAAAGGGGGACAATGAGGAATTCAAGGTTCTTGAGCATCTAGGCAGTGAGGATAGGGTTGCACGACCCAGAGCCATCCTTGCCCTCAGGCACCTCCTTGTCCTCCTGGGGAAAACCAAGAAAAACATACAGAGGCAAATCAAAATAAACCGCCATGAATCCCAAGTGCGGAGGTGGTTGAGGGTGTTGATGCTTCTCACCCCATCACCTCTGCAATGGGAATTAATTAGGAAACAGAATCAGCAGGTGGTAAGATCTGAAATGTCAGCTCCATGCTGGAAATGAGAAGCTGCTGAAGTTATTCTGACTCAGAACCAGATGGGCTCTGGCTCCTTCCTCCTGAATTCAACATAACCATCCCAGGCAGGGCAGAGCAAGGCCAAACACAGGCAGTGCCCACTAGGGGAGAGCTGGCCGCGGGAGCCATTCCCAGGGCCACAGGCAGGCTGGGCTTCCCAGACTCCGCAGATTCCCTTTTCCCAGGTACTGAGGGGGAGGGGCCTGTGCTGCTCTGCCCCCACCAGTGGAGTCAGCCTGCCTCCCTGGAAACCCGAGGAGGGTCAGAGGCAGTAACAAGTATTTGGAAGGACCCAAAGGGGGGCTGAGACCTGGAGTGAGGGACCAGGGCAAGTGGTAACCAAGCCAGGAACGGGCGAGAAGGCAGAACCAGCAGGTGGGTGGTTTCTGGGTGTGTGTGTGGAGGGGTCTTTTCCAGAAAGATGGACTGACAAAGGCACAGACAGAGGGAGGAGGCCCTGGTAAAGTCCTGGCCCAGGATTAGCTGGCCCAGTGCTCATCCCCATTTCGAGGGGCCTCAGGAGAGGGTGCCTTCCCGACCCCTTCCCTCTCACCCTCTGCTTGGAGCTTGGAGCCAGGCCAAGGGGGAGGCCACGAAGAGGAGTGCAGGGGAAACAGGGAGGAGGGAGAAGACTGTGGAGCTGAGAAAGGGGAGAGAGCCTGGGAACTACTTAGTGGGAACCAGTCAGAGGGAGGGAGGTGAAGACGAGGGCTGGAAGCAGAGGGACAAGCGGTGGAAGCACCGCCAGGGGGAGTGGCGCTGGGGCAGAAGATGTGCCTGTCCCCAGGAGCTCCTGGTCTTCCTGCAGACAGAAGAGAACCCACTGACTGGGTATAGTTAGTGGCTCACGCCTGTCATCTCAGCACTTTGGGAGGCCGAGGGGGGCAGGTCATTGGAGGTCAGGAGTTCGAGACCAGCCTGGCCATCACAGCAAAACACCATCTCTGCAAAAAATATAAGAAGTAGCTGGGCATGGTGGTGCATGCCTGTAGTCCCAGCCACTCAGGAGGCTGAGGCGTGAGAATTGTTTGAACCCTCGAGGTGGAGGTTACAGTGAGACAAGGTCTCACCACTGCACTCCAGCCTGGGCTCTTTCCACCGCCCCCTCAAAAAAAGGAGGAAAAGGGACAGACGACCCTGAGGGGGCAGCTGTGGGTGGCGGGTGGGCTTCGGTAGGGCTCTCCCTGGGGTGGCGCTGGCCTCTCATCCCTGTAGAGCAGCCAGCTGTCCTGCCACGTGAGGCAGGCTCAGATCATTGTCCCACGTGTAACTGTCTGAATTGTGTCCCCAGGAGCTCTGTTCAAGTCCTAACCCCTTGGTTCCTGTAAATGTGACCTTATTTGGAAACAGGTCTCTGAGACGCAAGTGAAGCTCTTGAGCTGACATCATCCTGGCTTTAGGGTGAGCCTGAAATCCAATGATCCACGTCCATATAAGAAGTGGGAAGACAGAAAGGGAAAGCCACGTGAAGGCAGAGGCAGGACAAGCCGAGGAATGCCAGGAGCCGCCAGAAGCAAAAAGAAGTGGGGAGGATCCTGCCCCAGAGCCTTTGGAGGCAGCGCCCCGCCAGCCCCTGGACGTCCCGCCTCCAGAACTGGGAGAATCCATTTTTGTTGTTTGAAGACACCCTGTTTGTGGTCATCTGTTAGAGCAACTTTGAAAACAAGTATACCACAACAGCACCTCCAGGCTCCTGCCAGCCTGCAAGCAGGCGATGGAAACACTGGTCTCCTCCGCACCCTCATCCCGTGGAGCTTGGCCGGCCCGGGGGCAGCCGGTGGGAAGACGGGAGGCAAACATGCTCCAAAGGCAGCACTCACCCCGCTGGGCTGGGGGTGATGAGGCTGCAGCCTGTGCTCCCGAGACGGCTGAGGCTTTCTCCAGCTGCAGGAGACCTGCAGACCTCAAGGGGAAGCAATCTCAGCGAAAGTGCCGCCTGCGGTCCGCGGTCAGGCAAGGAGGAAGTGGGTGAGTGCGGCAGGGCAGGAGCGCAAGGCCAGGACATGGGGGTGTGCCAGCAAAGCGAGCAGCAGAGGTGAACGTGCCAGGATGCTGATAAAGCTTACGCTGCGTCTGGGCCCCTCTAAAGCCCCACACCTGCTTTTGTATTTTTTTCTGGAATGGGATGTTCCTCAATCATATAAGCATCGGGTCCCACCAAACCTGGATCCCTCCCTGCCAACAGCAGGGCCACAGGAGTACAGGCCTCACGCAGAGCCAATGGTGTGGATGTCCTCTCAGGTTTTCTGTTGTCTGACCATCCAGCCTTCCAGTTTCTTTACACGGTTGTCCCTCTAGCCCTCTACACAGCCAACCAACCTCCAGTACCGAGTCTCTGCCATGGGATTTGCTCCCTGCCCTCAAGTGACTCATGGTTAGAGGCAGGGGAAAGGGGACATAAATAAGGAGCAATTAAACTGGCTCTGCCACAAGGAGCAGCGGCGGGGGGGTGGGGGGCAAGAGGGGAGCTGAAGAGAAGAACTGTGGAGGGAATGGTTGCCTCAACCTGGAAGTCAGGTTGGGACAGCCCTACCATGGAGGTGACCTGAGTTTTGAAGACAAGAGGGAGGGCAGCTGAGGCAGGGGAACAGCGTGGGCAAAGGTGTGGGACAGCGCAGGGCACTTGGGCACTCACAGGTGACTCAGCCCTCCTGGGTCACCTGGCTGCTTGGTGGAAAGGGAAGGCCAGGGCGGGAGGGAGACTGGCAGGTGGGCCTCACACTGAGTGTGCTGGTTTCCTGTGGCTGCCATAACAGCACCAGGCTTGTACAGGCTGAAAACAATAGGAATGTATTGTGTTCCACTTCTGGAGATGGAAGTCCGAGACCAAGGTGCTGCAGGGCCAGGCTCTAAGGGCAGAACCTTCCTGCCTCTTCCATCTTGTGGTGTCAATCTTCAGCGTTCCCTGGCTGTCAGCTGGCCCCTCCAACCTCTGCCTCCGATGTCATGTGGTGTTCCTGGAGGTCTTGCGTACCTCTTCCTATAAAGACAGTCAGATTACATTAGCCCCCTGAGTGAGCCTAACTCCATCGCATCTACAAAGACCAATTTCCAAATAAGGTCCTACCCACAGTTACTGGGAGCTGGAGGTTCAACAGATCTTTTGGGGGGACACGATTCGACTCACGACAGGGAGGAAGAATTGGTAGGACTTGCTGCTGATGTGATGCCGTGGAGTGAGCAGAAGGCTGGGGAATACCCAGGCTTAGGAGGAAGCTGGGACCCACACGTGCTGGCATGTGTGGCCCTGGTCAGGAGCTAAGATGAGCTGGGCATGGTCTGTGGCCTCCAGGAGCTCCTGGTCAAGCAGGGAGGCAGGAAGGAGCCCAGACCTGCCAGGCACAGAGATGAGCATGTCTTGGGGACACAGGGCAGGGACAGAAGTGGCCTGAGGGGCCAGGGCAGGCCCCAGAGAAGTACCTGTAGGCCTGAACCAAAAATGCCATTGCCATGTCCGACTGGTGGCTCCCAGGTGTGCCAGTCCAGCCTGGCCTCTGCTGAGCACCTGGCTCCTGTGTGTATCCACCAGCTCAGTCATCTCTGTCCCGGCATGCCCACACAACCTCAGCCAAATCCACCAGCCTCGCTTTCCAAAACAGCTCTTCCTGTCCTCAACCCTGGCCCCTTCAAACAGAGCCCTCCCCGAAGTCCCTCCACCGGCCCTGGAGGGTGGCCCTCCCACAACCCGCCCAGCCTCCTCCTCCACCTGCGCCTTACTTTCACTTGTTCCCAGGGTCACCCAAAGCTTCCAAGGATTTAGGCAGCAAGTAAAAGAAACAATCCTTCCCAGCCAGTCTGCCTCTGCCTGGCCTCCAGCAAGCTCCAAGCTGGCGCATGTTTTCTCAACTTTCTTTTAAAAGAAGGTACAGTCATCCTTCAGTATCTGTGGGGGTATTGATTCCAGGACCCCACAGATACTAAAATCCAAGGACGTTCAAGTTGCTTACATAAATTGGAGTATTATTTGCATACAACCTATGCACATTCTCCACCTCTGTATCACTTATAAGACCTAATATATTGAAAATGTTATGCAAGGCTGGGCACGGTGGCTCAAGCCTATAATCCCAGCACTTTGGGAGGCCAAGGCAGGCAGATCAAGACTATCCTGGTCAACATGGTGAAATCCCGTCTCTACTTAAGAAATACAAAAATTAGCTGGGCTTGGTGGCACATGCCTGTAGTCCCAGCTATTCAGGAGGCTGAGGCAGGATAATTGCTTGAACCCAGGGGGCAGAGGTTGAGGTGAGCCGAGATCACACCACTGCACTACAGCCTGGCGCCTGGCGACAGAACAAGACTCAGTCTCAAGAAAAAGAAAAAGAAGATGATGTGTAAATAGTTGTTATACTGTATTTTGAAATTGTGTATTATTTTTATTGTTGTATTGTTATTTTTCACTGTGGATATTTTGCCCCAAATATTTTTTTTTTTTTTTTTTTGAGACAGAGTCTTGCTCTGTCGCTCAGGCTGGAGTGCAGTGGCACAATCTCAGCTCATGCAACCTGTTTCCCAGGTTCAAGCAATTCTCCTGCCTCAGCCTCCTGAGTAGCTGGGATTATAGGAGCCTCCTACCATGCCTGGCTAATTTTTGTGTTTTTCACCATCTTGGCCAGGCTGGTCTTGAACTCCTGACCTCATGATCCACCTGCCTTGGCCTCCCAAAGTGCTGGGATTACAAGTGCTAGCCACCGTGCCCGGCCTCTGCAAATATTTTCAATCCACAGTTGGTAGAACCCAACCCGCAGATCCCTGCAGATACGGAGGGCCAACAGCAGTCACGATACCTCCTCCTAAGTTTGTTACAGAGTAAAGGAGAAAATACATGTGAAGGACGTGGCACAGTTCCTACCAGATGTTATCACTGCTATTAAGAGAATGAAAGGAGACCCACGGAAACTCAAGGCTTAGATTCAGAGGGGCCTTTGATTGAAATAGTCACAAATTTTTGGTCGGATGTGGTAGATCATGCTATAATCCCACAAGTTTGGGATACAAAAGCAGGAGGATGGCTTGAGCTCAGAAGCTCGAGACCGGACAACATGCCAAGACCCTGTCTCTACAAAAAAATTTAAAAAGTAGCCAGGCATGATAGTGCACGCCTATCGTCCCAGCTCCTAGGGAGGTTGAGGCAGGAGGATGGCTTGAACCCAGGAGGCTGAGGCTGCAGTGAGCTGTGTTTGCACCACTGCAGTCCAGCCCGGGTGACAGAGTAAGATTGTGTCTCCAAAAAACCAAAACAAAACAAAATAAATAAATATATACATATATATACACACACACACACAGTGTTTTGCCTCGGGGAAAGTAAACCTCTAAAAGATTGATGGACTTGAAAATGGAAGCATAGATATAAACTAACTGGGCCTTTTTTTCTGTGGAGAGTTCCACCCCTATGGACGGTCTAAATTTCCTGTGCTGAAATCTACCATGCCCACTCACTAAAATCTAGTCCCCCTTCTTTCTTCATTGTCTCATTGCCTCAGTCACATTGGGGCAGAAAAATGCACACTTTAAAGGGATTTCACATGTGCCCACTGTTTATTCTTATGTCACTTAAATGTCGCCTCTGCTATGTACAAAAGCCTGGTTGAGATGAGCACTTCCAACGGGCAACATTTGGAGGGTTTGGCCTCACAGATGGTCGACTCTGGGTTGGCAAATTCCACTCTGGCTTCCTTTGCTGTTATTATGGAGTTGCTGTTGCCATGGCATTTGTGTATGTGAGGGAGACGATCGTGCATCTCATCAGCTTCTGGAACACTCACCCAGAGCCTCGGAACAAGGTGGTGGGAAGACAGTCTGCAGAGAGAATGAAGGAGCGTGGGAAGGAGTCGTTCTGGGCGCTCGCACCCTGTGTTAATAGCAGCTGGGAAAGAGGAAGGGGTGCCTCTGCCGTCTCTAACCCAGAAGGGATGGCTTGAGGCGCAGTGTAAATGTGGACAGGGGTGACCGCAAGGCACGCTGGGGTCTCAGCAGCACAGGCTAGTGAGGCAGGGGACGTCAGATGGAGGGCCTTTCACTAGCTCTATGCCTCTATTCCCTGCATCAGCTGGCTCCCCAATCAACAGCCCTACTCACCTTTTTAAAACAGAAATTGCATCATTCCCTGTTAAAACCCTTCAGCGGCCTCCAATTACCCTCCAAACAGAATCTGAGCTCCCCTCACTACCCGCAGCGCTTGGCGTGATCCGAACTCCCCCTCTGCGCTCTCCCTTAGTCTCTCTTCCGGCCTCCCTCACCGCCCTCCAGCCCAGAGGAGCTTCCTCCTGCTGGCAAGAGCATTTGGCAAGTTCGTTTCCTCCTCAGCGCCTTTGCGCTGGCAGTATTTCTCTGGAAGGCGATGTCTTCAGGTCTTCATGTGAGGGCTGTACCTGTCATTCAGATCTCAGGCCCAATGTCACCGCCTCAGAGAGCTCCCCACCCCAGGTAAAACGCGCGAGTGTAAGATCCCTCGGACCTCCTGCATTGTCTTCATGTCATTCAGAGCCAGGATCTGTTACTTGTCTGTTGCTTGTCTCTCCTGATAAAACAAAAGCCCAGTGAGGGCAGAGGTTTGCCAGTTTCCCAAGAAGCTAAATCAGTGTATGGCACATGGAGAAGCCAGCTTTTATTAACAGATTCTGAAGGAATAAGTGACCACAGCCTTGGAACCCGTGGTCTGCTTTCCTCAAAGCCAGTGCCCTTAACACTGGACTACAGCAGGCAAGGCCTGGGAAGGCACATCTCAGCCTCCTGAGGAGGAGCAGACAGGACCACAGAAGTCCTCCGCCACAGCCACCCTTCCGAGGAGACTCCATTTCTAGGGATCTACTCTTTGATGCTGAGTTGCTTCAAATCATCACACTGTATCAGTTCAAAAGAGACTCGTCTAGAATCCTGCTATGGTCTGAATGTGTCCACCACAAAATATGTGTTAAAAACTTAATCCTTTGGGAGGTGGGGCCTAACGGGAGGTGTCTGGTTTACAAGGGCTCCATTCTCATTCATGGATCTGTGCCAAATCTGAAAGGGCTTGAGGCTCTAAGTTCCATCTCTCATTCTCTCTCACCCTCTCACTTCCACCATGGGTGACATAAGAACGCCCTCGCCAGATTTCAGCAGTTTAATACTGGATTTTCCAGCCTCCAAAACTGAGAAATAAATTTCTTTCCCTTATAAATTATGCAGTCTGTGGTATTCTGTTATAGCCACATAAAATGGATTATGACACATCCTGATCGTGTTCTTGACAGTAGGTCGCAAATTGTAAGCTTCTCCCAGCAGCGGACCATCCCCATCGCCTCCTCATGATATGCCCAGCAAATGTGTAACTTGATGCCTGAACTGTGCCTGCTCCTGTTCCTCTGTCACACTCCTCCGCTGCCCAGACTCTGGAGCTCAGGTTCTGGCCATGTCACATTCCAAGGTGAGGCTTCCTGGACCCTGGAGGGCTGGGGCATCCTGTAGACAGAACACCAAATCCATGGAAGCTGGTCTGTTTACATGGGGGGTGCTCACACTAGGGCTGGGATCCAGGCAGCTGCACTTAAACATGCAGTCTGGATGTCTCATGCAGGTGAGCAAAACTGCCATCGCCCAGAGCAGCACCACTCACCTGCTGGCTAAGGAAAAGCTTAGAGGCCGGGCGCGGTGGCTCAAGCCTGTAATCCCAGCACTTTGGGAGGCCGAGGCGGGTGGATCACAAGGTCGAGAGATCGAGACCAACCTGGTCAACGTGGTGAAACCCCGTCTCTACTAAAAATACAAAAAAAATTAGCTGGGCATGGTGGTGCGTGCCTGTAATCCCAGCTACTCGGGAGGCTGAGGCAGGAGAATTGCCTGAACCCAGGAGGCGGAGGTTGCGGTGAGCCGAGATCGCACCATTGCACTCCAGCCTGGGTGAAAAGAGCGAAACTCCGTCTCAAAAAAAAAAAGAAAAGAAAAGCTTAGAAAGTGGGGTTGGGTTCCAAGCAGAGGACCAGCTTCCCAGAAATTGATCAAGGAAAATAGAAAGTACAAAACCAAGCCAGGGGAAGAGAGGGTGGAGGTGTCTGCTCAGATCCAAGGATTGGGTGCAGAGTGGAAAATTCCAGAAAACGGGAGATGAGGTGGCAGGAAGGGCGGGGCAAGGAAGGAAGAGAGGGTCCCAGATGGAGCTGTCTGTCCTGGATGGGAGTGTCTAGTTAAAGCTAGGCACCGGGAAGAAATAAATTCTCATGCTCAGAGGTGCACCCGTTTCTTCCATGCCTCCTGTCTGCCAGCTGCCATGCTAACTTCTCCATCTCTGTCATCCCATTCAATCCTTGCATCAATGCTGAGAGATAGGTGTTATTGATAATCCTGTCTACAAGACAGGAAAACTGAGGAACAGAAAGGTAAACAATATGTCTAAGGGTTTCAAAGGGAGTAAATGTCAGAGTCAAGATTCCGCCCCACACCCATCTGATTTACAAATTCATGCCATTAACAGGTTTTATTCTCACTCCCCGTCCCAACAAGTAATGCTACCAGGATACAAGAATGAACAGGACAAGATTCCCACATTCAAGGTATGGCAGGGCACATACCTAGAAATAGAGAAGACACTTGAGACTGCAGGGGCCAGACAGTGCCTACCCTGGGCTGCACCCTTCAACTTCCAAAACAAAGTGCCTGCAAAGCAGACGAAGTCCAGTGCGGCCATGTGCAGGTTGCTCAGGGCGGCCTCCGCTCCACGGGAGCTGAGATGGAGGCCGCAGACGGCTGACTTACTCCAACAGCCTGCCTGGCTTTGCAATCTGGCCTCCCCAACGTTGTGCTCGGTTCTAGAAACTGCAGCCCGCAGACAGCGAGGTCACTTGGCTCCTGGATGCGCTGCCCCAGCTGGACCTTGTGTCCCTGGACCATGGGCTGCAAGGCAAGGAGAGGGGAGGCGGCTGAGGGCATCAGGCCTTGGTGGGGGCATCACCACAGAGATGCTGGGGGACACCCAGGGCAGCAGGGGTGACCTGCAGAAGGGATGAGAGGCTCCAGAGTGATCCTCGGCCCCACCATACCAGACTCACAGGTGCTTGGCTGCCTCGTGATGTGAGCAGCCTGCCCTGGCTTTGGGGAGACTCTGAGGAGCCTGACCCTGGAGCTTTCTTTTGAACCTCCCAGGTTCAAGTGATTCTCCTGCCTCAGCCTCCCAAGTAGCTGGGATTACAGGTGCACACCACCACACCCAGCTAATTTTTGTAATTTTTTTTTAGTAGAGATGGGGTTTAGCCATGTTGGCCAGGCTGGCTTGGAACTCCTGACCTCAGGTGATCCACTCTCCTTGGCCTCCCAAAGTGCTGGTATAACAGGCTTGAGCCACCGCGCCAGCCTGGAACTTTCCTTTTAAATACAGAACAGAAAATCTTGGCTGGAGGCCCTTTACTGATGAGCATGCATATTTATCTGTGTGCAAATCAAGACCACCAGAGAAGTGTAACTGTGACACCTGCGTGAAGGAGGGAAGCACTCGCCATCAGCCTCTCACGCCTCCATGTTTTCGGTGCCGCCCCGTGATACGGATGACTATGTAATTTGCGAGGAAAACATTAACTCCACCTTCTCACTTTTCAACTCGAAAAGACAAGCATTTATATCCTGATTCAGATTGAACGTGTAAACGACTCTTCCTGGTCTTGGAATTCGTTTCTTTCTTTCTCAGAGGTAATAGTTACGGCCCTTCTACGGGCAGGGTTCTGTGCAAAGTGCCGGGAGGCGTAAGTGAAAGGAAAGCAATGGATGCTTGGATGACGTCATCATCATACATTAACCGCGATCATGTAATGAGTTTCTATTAGGCACCATCTTTATTTCATGTAATCCTCTTAAGAACCTTATAGTAACACGCATTTGGCTGCAGATAACAGAAAACCCAACCCTATGGCTTAACCAGGAGGCGATCATTTCTCGCCTAACAAGTTCTCCAGAGGTCAGCATTCCAGGGCTAGTGCTGACTCAGCAACCTTGTGAGAGGCCGGGGACCCAGATTCTCACCGCCTTTCTGCTCTGCCGTCTGCGGTGTGTTGGCTGTTGTTATCATGCCAGTTGCTTCGATAACAAAGTAACAACTTTGGAGATACCAACTCCATCTCCAACCCCAGCTTCGCCTGACAAGAACAAGGCCCACAGGCACCACTAGCAGTAGAGATTTTGGAGGAGCATGTTAGGTGGGCACACTGCCATCCCACACAAGATTGGGAGCTGTTGGTCCTGATGAAGGGGAGAATGGCCCCAGGGAAAGAAAGCGGCAGTTTCAGCCTAACTATGGGATGGATATAATCTTCCTCTTACAGATGAAGTCCAGTGAGATTAAGTTACTTGCCCAGTCCCGTGACCAACAAGAGAATGAGCCAGAACTCAAAAGTGCGTTTGAATGATTCCAGAACTCTACTAAAAGTACAAAAAATTAGCCGAGCGTGGTGGCAAACAACTGTAATCTCAGTACTCAGGAGGCTGAGGCAGGAGAATCGCTTGAACCCAGGAGGCGGAGGTTGCAGTGAGCCAAGATCTCACCACTGCACTCCAGCCTGGGTAACAGAGAGACTTGGTCTCAAAAAAATAAAAAATTCTAGCCACTTTCTACTAGTGTCTTGAAGCTGCTCTAAATGCTGTCCGGAATTAAACACTACTGATTTAACACTGTGTCGCTAGTAAATGAACGAATATATACTTAACAACCTGCCTGCAATACTGTCCCCACAGAGTTTTACATATTAGCTCATTCTCGTCATTCTGGGTTTTGCTCAAAGTTATCTTTTCAGAGAGGCCTTTCCTGACCTCCACTGAGTCCCTCGCCATTACAAGGTTTTTTTTTTTGTTTTCTTACAATACTTTGTAGCATCTGAAATGATCTACACACTCTCCATTAGTATGTATGTTACATGTATTTGTCTCCACAACTAGCTCAGTTCCTGGATCATTGTAGGCACTAATAATATTGGGTGCATAAATTAATTAATTGATGTGTTCTCAAATCATGATAGAATATCAGGGCAGGACAGTTGCAGAGAAATTTTCCTTGTGACCCCAGGAAAGCCACCTAGCACAATGTTCTAGTCCATAAAATGGGCATAGTGATAATCACCCAGAGAAGGTAGCACTAAAGCATCCACAGTGTCCTTGCTCAGGGCTCAGCCAGCCCATTCTTCCTTCACTTGGGAGAAGCCATGGTATTGCTTCACTCTGGGGGCACCATTCAGTT